AAGAGGACTGTGAAGAAGAAACCTTTAATTAGGTGTAATTCACTGATCTGCATATTCTGTCATCCCTAACTTTCACAGGTGATCATATTACAACAGTCTTCCTCAGTATGTGTCAAAATTCAGATTCAGAATCCACACTAACAGTCACCCCTCTCACCCAGTTATTTGAATGCCACTTTTGAACACCTGACTACCCTGAGACAATGCTGTACTGCAGAAATACATCAGCATGTGAGGTGGGTGGATGGGGAGGGAGGGAAGAGGTGGCACAAGTTGTAAATTGTTCATACCTGTCAGAGAGTAGTTGCTGGACAATGGGGGCGGGGGGGTGAGGTTAAGCTGGTTGTTTCATATTATTTTGGGCCCTTGCATTGACTCTACGTTGCTCAGGGCAGCTCTGGGTTCCTATGCAATGAAAGGCTTCTTAGAACCAAGGACTTCTGCCTTGCTCTTTCCTCGGAATTGCTTGGCCAGGAGGCACGTTTTTTATTCCTTGGAGAAGGACTGAGGCACTGTATCACCCAGTGGCATCTGGGGGTGGGGGAAGACTGAGAATGAGAAAAGGATGGCATGTGTGTCACAACAGCAGATGCCCTGACCTACATATTTGCAGCAGACACCATAATCCCAATGCATAACTGCATCGGTTTCATAAAGATGTTGTAACATGTGTTATCACTTTGATGACATTTTGGGTTGCTGTGGATGCTGTTGGCCTCACATATGAGAATCATGTAATACAGTACATGAAATGGGGAAATATTATAATATTGTTAAGAACAGAGGGAGGGAAGGAGGGAGGAGGAGAAGAACAAAGAAAGGAAGGAGCATATCCAGAGGCTGTGCAAAATACTCTCCCCCCCCCCCCCCACTATACTACATTACACTACACACATCACTTTTGGAATCTCTGTGCATTAGATATGCCTTTGTGTTTCGGTGCATCACACACACAATTAAGAATATAAGCAGTTTTAGACATACTCCAAGTGTATACTGAGTAATCTGCATATTAGGGAGCATTACTGAAG